TTTCAGTAAAGTAACCACCGCTCTGGACTGGCAAGCTCTTTTGTATCAAGTCACACATGGCAACAACAATCTATCGATGCCAAAGCTGTCAATGGCTTCCTCTTTCAAAGTTTGCTTAATAAAAAATTAACGGCAGGTTGTCCCATTGGCTTATTTTTTGGTTCAAAACCTATTGCACCCGTAAACTACGGTTAAAACAGAACTCCAAACTCATTGAATCCGAACTTTTTTTTTTTTTTTCACATATGCTGAAGCAGCTATAAAGTCATCTTAATTCAACTTCGACATGCGCTGGTTCGACACGCAGTGAGAACAGATTTTCGCACAAGGTGGCCACCACCGGGAAGCAGAATCACAAGGCGTGAGCCGCGAGAGAAGGTTGAAAATTCTTCCTGTATTTTTTATTAACAATATTAAAAAAATTCTCCCTAAAATGCAGCATTTTGCTGAATAAAATACATAGCCAAGGAGCGATAAATATCACTTTATTAGGCCAATCAGAAAGCTACAGCATGGGTTAATTTTAAAAAGACAATTGGAGTACAAGTGGCCAGAACGGTTAGAAGGAGGTGATCAACGACTGAAAATCTGATTCTGATGCACACAGGGTGGATTTAACGTTGACTGGTGCGGTTGATTGTTGGTGAAAAGGAAAAAAAAACACATTTGATCAGCAGCACAACACATCCCTTTACTTAAATACACAATCGAGTAATTATTATGTGATACAGTTCATGTGGAAATACGGAGAGCTGAAGAGTAGGAGATGAAATGGAATAGCGGTGAAAAAGTGGTAAGGGAAGGGGAGGGGGGAGGGGAGGAAGAAAAAATGGTTGATTAAATGCAAGACGGAAAGCAAAAAAAAAAAAAAATCTGAAACAAGGGATTAAAATCCCAGAAAAAAAAATAAATAAATAAAACAGCAGCTTGTTTTATGCACCGTTAAGTTATCACGGCCGAGAGCTACTGCTGTAAGCTCATAACTGTTACTAGCATGCAAGCATTCGGGCAGTTCCCAGTTTTTATAGCAAAAATTATGAATGAAAAATTTGCCAGCAAAACCGGGTGAAGAGGAATGTTCGAAAAACCAGAGCGTGTAAACCAGTACTAACTCTACGTTTAACAGCTCTAAACCCTCCCTCGCCCCCTGCGCCCCCTCCCCTTCCCCCATATATTTTTTGCCACATAACTGGGGCCTCTGATCCAGACAGCTGGCTGAAGAATCTCAAGCAACGGTTTACGATACGCAAAAAATTACTGCAACTTTATGCTAGGGCCCAGATGTGCTGAGCTTTGGCTTCTCATTCACAACCTAACAGACAACCAGCACTCGTACCACTGCTGCTAACCATGGATATTGGACAGGAAAGGGCCTTTGGCGCAAAAACCAAGAAAAGAATTTCGAGCATTTGTAAATGCTTGTTGGATTTTCTGCAAATTATCCAGTCGCTTCACTGTCGGACATGCAGTAAGTTCTGAGAATGGGTCTTCAATAAACAGCTTGAAATTCTGTGCTCTTTCCGAAAGCTCCGTTCTGAAACAACAAATTTGCATCATCAGTTTTTTTTTTTTTTGTTTTCGACAATAATAATCAGTGCTGATAATTTTTCAAATGATATCAAAAATGACAAAACAGATAAGTATAATGAGGACAATAACGAAATAAAAAAAAAAAAAGATTGAACCGAATGTCGAAAAGACGCAATGGGAAAGCTAAAAATGGCTAGAAAAATTCGAAAAAAAAAAGGAAGTTCTGTAATAATAAGAAACTCAAAATTGGTTGGAAAAATTCTTTGTAATAAAAACAAACTTCTGTAACGATTGTCAACGTTACAGAAGTATAGGAAAATTTTTGCTTCAACTCTATTAGAAATATAACCAACAGTTACTAGCGAGGCTTGTTCAGTACAAAACTTGAAGATTTTTCGATAGTGATAAAGTTTGAGGATTTATAAAACGATGAATTTATCATGATTCACAATCTGGGAATAGCAATGTAGAGTTTTTCATATTACTGAGATGCGAAAA